CAAGTCCAAAACAATGAACCGCCCTACAGAAGGAAGAAAAGGAAAGGTGGGGGATATGAGAGATGAATTGATAAGTGGCCATGGAAACCAAAGACTATTAAAAGTTCGATCGAGAAACCATTCTGGAAAGAACCACCATGAGTGCTTTCACTCATTAGCCGTCAAGCTATCGACGTTAAACAAAGCACTGCGTGGGAGGAAACCCATGAAGTTTTTATTTTTTTTGTTTCTATGTTTATTTGTTTGAATTTGCAGAAAATAAGGAAATGCACTGCATCTCACGTCTCGGCCACATCTAGGCGAAAATTCTCTAAATAATGATCCAGGAGATGAGTTGGTGCCCACGGACATTCCTACGAATGTCACTGCTGGTGGTGACACCGATATGAACGTCAAGAGTAGAATCATAGAGGATTTGGCACGCAGTAGCATTCATACAGGTTCTATCGGTCCTTTTCCCACCTTTTATTAAAATATTGAGGACAATGTTTGGTTTAAGTGTGGGGGAGGAACTCTACCGCTTTCATTTTATCGCTTTTTAGTTTGATTTATTGTTTTACATCTTGTTTCATACTTTTAGGAATTTTATCTGTTTTTTTTATGTCAAAGTCTTTGCATGTGTTGTTGAGTCTTTACGCGTGGTTTTCACTTGTTATTAATTTCCCCAAAATTTTAACCTCCAACAATTTTTGCTTCGATTCATGACATGGTACTCTGAGAGTATATAGCTTGTTCAGGCTATGTTAGAAAAACTTGGGAAAGTTTTGATAAAATTGATATCATCCTGACACCCTTAACCCCCTAAATATGCAAAATCAATTTGAGTACCCATTATGCTGAGACCTTAAAGCTCCAGTTTTTTTAGTAATCCCTAAGTAGTTTATTTAAGCAGTCAACACCATCCTAAACACACTAAGTAAGAAACCAATGCAAATAAGTGTATGATCTCTGGTTTAAAATGAGAAACTAAGAAGAAGAAAAAATTATGAATAAAAATACATGTCCCTTCTAAGTTAGGTGCTCCTCATCCGATCACTTAGTCCAACGGTACAAACTCTTTAAGTTCAATTGATGCTTAAGCATATTTGCAGAGAAAAATGAAATAACAATGAGATCATAGTCACTAACAGGTTTACTTGCCATGAAAGTGTATGGATAAAGGGCTTAATGTGATTGCACTAGAATGAAATGGGGTGAAAGAGAGCATGAGATATAGGTTGAGTTATAACGGCATGATTCAGGTTAGTTTGCATAAGTATGGAGTTTTTGAAATTGTGTCATTACGGTATCCTTGGTGTTGATATTTAGTACCTGTCGATCTAACATTAGCCTAGCAGCCACGTATGATTAGGGTCTCACTGTGTCTTTGTTTCAAATTATGCTTATTTCTTTTCACTGTGTTGGTTGATTGCTTGAGGACAAGCAATGGTTTAAGTGAGGGGGTATTTGATAACGCGAAGGTATATCGTTTATTTGACTTAACTTATATGAATTTATTTGCGATTATTGTTAATTAATCTTGATTTATGTTCTATTATACGGTTAATTTACTATGTTTTGCAGATTGTGGAGAATTTGGATTAAAGAAAGAAAAGAATAAGAAATAGAAGGAAAAGAAAGAAGGAAGAAAGAAAGAAATAGAGAAGAAAAACAAAAAGCAGATTTTGTAGGTGTGACGGTCGTCACAACCTTACCACGGTCGTCACGTGCATCAAGGTCGTCACAGATTCCACCACGACCGTCACGAGCATCACTTAAGCGTAACGGTCATCACAAGCTCATCACGACCCCAAAAACCAGTATCAGAATAAAACAGAAGTGTGCACGAACACCCTCAGGTTAACTTCTTCCTATACTTTCTCCATTAACTGCCCACTACAGGAAGTTACTCTCACTCCCTCCATAACTCACCCATGATCTTTGGAAGTTGCGAAATGAAATATCTCCTATAAATAGGCCTTAGATTCACAGTTTTGAAGGGGGGCCTTCGACGTATCGAAGCGCTGCCAAAATTTATATTGAAGCTATTTTTCATTATTGTTGTTATTTCTTTCAATTTTCCTTTAGTTCAGAGCATTGTATTTCTTTCTGCACTTTTATTTCGCCATAGTAGATTCCTGCTGACATTGTGGAGGACTACTCGAGAATTCAATTTCAGTACTACTTACCAGGTTCTTATTAATTGAATATTTATTTTATTGCCTTCATTATGCATGTTATACCATGTTGTTGTTTATGTTTATATTTGTTTGCATTAATTATCATGTCTAACTAAACCGCTTTTATCGGTATGTAATAAATTAGTAGGACGAGATTCGATAATACCCGGTGCCTTTATCCCTTTTACAAATAATTTTCTGGCCGTAGTTTTTAGTCTAATTTTCTAAATAAACCTTCGTCGCGACAGCGAGAAATTATTTACAGTAGTTTTGCCACGAAAGTGGGAAATTCACTAAGGTTCGAGCCGGCACGTGAAAGCGTGGGGTTTGAACCAGATAGTAAAAATTAGGTATTGATTTTAAACACAACGAAAGCGCTTTAAAAGAAATCAGAATTTATTTATTTTCAAAAAGTAATTTTAACCCCGAATGGGACTGCGAGAGCGTACATTCCGCCTTAGAATTATGACCAGAGTCAACAATCAGCATGAGGCAAAGGTCTTGAAACGAGTATTTTTTCCTGAAAAGTTATTGCATAAGCTAAAAAGCACCGGCGACCTGTCGAATCCCCGAAAACTAAGGCATTACATACCGATATCCCTTTACCGCTTGTCCTTAAACCAATAACCTTTATTTCCTTTAAATTTAATTTCATTCGCATTTTAACTTTCCTAATTCCATTAGACTTAGCTTTACGCCGCAACAGTAGATAACGGTAGGTTGACATTGGTCTATGTGGGTTCGACAATCTTTTATATTACTTCGATATTTTCGTGCACTTGCGGACAAATCAGTGCCCTCGGGATAACCAAGTTTAATCCTGTTGTCCAACACACGCGGACCACGCGGGCAACGACTCCAGGAAATCTCACGCATGATAGCTCTATCGGACACGAGGACCAACTTTCACACTTCCTCGTGAGCTCACATCCACGAACTCGACAAATGCTCACCTCAAATTGATTTCCTCCATCTTTCCTCGGCATAACTGACTCTAAATCATTACTCCCTTAACTGAAAGCAACGACTTGGGAGGCTCTTGTTTTGGACTAACTCTAAGTCATTACTTCCCTACCTCCACGTAGGATTCTGGAAGTCATCTATTGTGGGTCTTATGATCCAGTCCAAATCAGATAACTGATAGCCCAGCGTTGGGGACACATTATAAATACCCTCCTCTAAAGGAGGATTGGGTATTTTAGTTCGTACTCACTATGTACTTGCTTTCTCCCTCTCACTCCCTTCCTCACTTTGACATCGGGATATCTTGCAGGTACATCCCCTCCTCTTCTCCACTACCGGCAAATTTGAAGCTCACGACGTGTTGCTGGCTGTTGATCCTCTCTCTGATTTGGTAAGATCAAATTTATTAACAAAATTAAATTGTGACTCAAATGAATAAAATATGTGTATTAGACTGCATTTGAAGATGCATCTCCAAAAACTGAATATTTTTCGAGTTTCGCAAGATACTTAAGAAACATTTAAAATACATCAAAAAAAATTCTCGTGGCTAATTACTATTGAGTATTTTTCGAGTTTCGCGAGATACTTAAGAAACATTTAGAATACATCAAAAAAATCTCCGTGACTAATTACTATTTAGTTTGAATTCTAGTTTTGGTTTTATCCAACCCAAACCGACTGATGTACATCCCTCGTAAGATGATTAGATTCAATTTTGTTTCAGGTTGTTAAAATCTAAATATTGATTATTGAATAGCAATACTCATGTCGGTTTGCTTCATATGCATAAGAGGTCCTTGATTTGAGTAGGGGCAAGTGATCTAGATGCTGCAATATAGAAACCAAACAAACACTCAGTTCTTTCAAATTTATTGTGTAGACCCTCAAGAATGACATTTTAAATACAAACTACAGGTCATATTCATGATTGCTGGCCACCCCTGTTCCCTGCAATGAATATTACAATTTCTTCTGGAGTTCAAATAATTGAGCTTCTCACTATTTATGCAGCTCATCACATGTTACCTCAACCATTGAATTGCATCTATAATAATTGAAAGTAGGTAAGTGAAGTATAGTGTGAATTTCATGAAGTGAAGTTAATATCAACATCTATAACCTCTGAAACTAATCTATAATAATTGAAAGTAGGTAAGCGAAATATAGTGTGAATTTCATGAAGTGAAGTTAAGATCAAACATCTATAACCTCTGAAAGTTAAGAGAGAAAATTAGTAAAGTGAATGATCAATGATGCAGTATGTGATAGTTCTATTCCAACCGCAATACAGATGCTGCTTTCGCTCAGTTCCAGTTTGTTGTCACCTTACTACATTTGAACTGTCCAGCAAAAACAGATGAGCAAAAATTAATTAGTTGTTTAGACTGAAATTCCAATGGCTTGTCTGGCCAGTTTCAAATGAGAGGATGATAAAATCCCACACAGCATTGATGGGACCCGTGATTATTCCTAATAATGCAAATTATTCCCCGAATCTAAAAAATTAATGGCCTAAAATACTAAAATTTGAGCAAGTAAAATACTAATATTGATGAACAAAACCTGCACAATTACAACAGAGATCGAGCCATTACATGCCCAAAATCCACATTGAATTTGTGAATTTAATAAATGCAATTCAAAGAACAGAAAATGTTGAAGGAGACAATGCCAGAATTGTAATTTATATATCTATCAAATATCAATCAAGGGTAGGCATAGGTAACCACAGCTAAGTAAAAAAAATACACCATAAATCTTTGGCTCGATAAGTGCATGGAACGGCAATTCAAAACATCTCAATCATCGCAATGTATTTACAGAAGAAAATGGCATGCAAACCAGAAAATAATGAAGTGCACTAATTGATGTGTGTCATGAAACAAGACCTTCCCGTGCAATACTGGTGACGCGAAGTACAGCTTGAGCACTTAAAGGAGAAAGATTTGACTGACAAAAGTTTTCCCAGGATTCTGAATCAGTATCTGGATCTTCAGTCACTGTCTCAGTCTTAGGATCCTCAGATGCAGTCTCGGTCTTAGGATTCTCAGATGCAGTCTCGGTCTTAGGATTCTCAGATGCAGTCTTGATCTTAGGATCCTCAGATGCAGTCTCAGTCTTAGGATCCTCAGATGCTGTCTCAGTCTTGGGATCCTCAGATGCTGTCTCAGTCTCGAAATTGTGAAATTTCTCGTAAACATTTTGAAGCTCAAGAATTAGGGTTCGAGCTGCTTCTCTGGACTCAGGAAGCTGGTCACTCAACTGGGATGCAGCTACTTGAATCAATTTGTCAATGCCGTATGTCTTTATGCCTTCTGCACCCTATCCAAACAAAAGAAAAAATATTAATGTTCCACATTTAGTCACAAAAATAGGCTGGCCATATAGATTGCATTTTCAAGCTTAACTAAAAAGGGCATGCAACAAATTAAAAGTACACTGGTTTAAATCATTTAGGAAACCCTACCCTTCACTTTGATCGGGATATCAAGTAATTTGAAAAATACCTTATAATATCTCGGATCTTATCCTAAAGAATATCTTAGGATTAGTTTACCCTCCTCCTTTATCTAAAACCCTACATATAACTTCAACAAAGGTCTTGTTCATTTAAAGGACACAAATTAATTTTTAAAAAAAAGCAATAACATGTTTAACTAAGCTCTTCATGTAGATACATTATACGGAATTGTATTGATACAATTATAATGACTGATATAACTATTGAAGTGAACAGACTGAACTTCTTTTAAACAAAACAACCTAGATAGACATGGACTGATAGAGAGAGACCCTGTATATATCAATATGTATTGATTGTCTAATAAAAAGTTTCACAGATACCCATTAGCCTTGAAAAATAATGCATGTTCCCAATAACTAGCGTTGTCGATGGTAGATGGCGGAGAGCCAAATCCCACCATACCGGCCTCTTTACGGCGCCATTATAGCGGATTATGGCAGAAAATGCAGTTCATGGCAGAGAGCCAAATTCTCGCCATACCAGTCGCTTTGCGGCGCCATTATAGCGGATTATGGCGGAAAAATCTGCAATATCGACCATATTTATCTTAGCGGCGAGCCCAAAAACCACCATGTATATCCGCCATAGTGTTCATGGCACCGCAATTTTCTAACACTACCAATAACAAATTAATATTTCCAGGGCATGTCATTGATCAATTTAGATCGTTAATCTTTGATTCATCACAAAATATTCTTCTTTCATTTTCCTATGTTCTGCATTATAATATATCAACAAAAATACATATATGATCATGATAAACCATTCCCAAATTAAATAGACATAAGAAGTTTTCTTACATAATTCGGGACTGAAACTACTTTTATAAATTCAGTCAGATGTTCAAAACAAACGTAAAAATTTAAGGAATTTCAACACTAATGGTGCCCAATGTTCTCTCCCTGCGTCATTAATTTGCTACCTAAAATCTTGGTTTAGTTACTTTTCTTTTTACAGCAAAGAAAATCATTTCATATGACACAATTCTAGAAATAGTTTTAAAGTAAAAAAGGTAAACATGAACAGTCATCAATATGAGTAAAAGTCATAAAGGTTACTCCTACCAGTCGTGGAACACTTCGAGAAAAGCACATTGATGCCTTTGCACGAACACGGGGATGCTTGTGCTTAAGGTATGGTTGCAATTTTGGCAACAATGAAATAGGGGATATCCAAGTAGTCATTGATATCAAGGCTTTTTCTGCTGCTTCGCATACAAAACGTTTGTCCTGTGAAGACTTTAGAAGAAGCTGTAATAGCTGCATCCACCATATGGAACATGTCAATTTACTATCACAAGTGTATGATGAGATTCCAGAATGCTTAAGGCAGCAAATTTAAGAGTACGCATAAGGAATTCTAACTTACCAGAGGATCCAGTGAATCTATCATAAGATCATTATATGCACAGAAAATGTCAGCAGATGTCATAACGGCCGTTTTGATAACAGCACTCCTAGGACTTTTCAGGGCCTTAGCAATATGTGTAATCACACTCCCCCTGTTAATCAAATAGCATATGAACAATTTAATATTTAATAAAACCAAACAAAAATCATAGTGTATTAAGCAATATATTTCAATTTAAAAACCATCTTTCACTCAGAAAGCATTAAAAAAAAAAGTTCAGTACTTACAGAATATCAAGCATTGCTTCCTTATGAAATATAGACAACCGACGTACATTATTTAGAGTATCACAGACCAGGACCCAATCCTTTGAGTCAAGTGCGGCTAAGAGGGTCTGCAACAAACCAAATAACTAATAACTAACGTAGGTGTTGAACTTACGTTTTATAAAGCTAAAAATCAAGTTAAATGAATAAAAAGAATTGGAAAAAATCACTCGCCCATGGTATACTAATTTTAACAGTTATCACCTATTCAAACCCATCTAGTCCCATACCCAAAAAAGATGAATAAAATAGTACCTTGAGACAAGTATCAATATCTTCTACATCGTTCAAATTCTCGGATTCAATGTACTCTATTTCTACAATTCCAATCTCTACAACAGAATCCACAGGGACAGCCTGATTTCCATTAACATGTGGGGAAACCAAAGCAGGACCATTTTTCTTCTTTTGATATTCTTCAATATTTTCATTAGCATTGTCAACCGGAGGCTTTGTCAAACACGTCTTACCAGAGCCCTCGCTCTTCCTTTCAGTTACAGGAATGGTATTGAGGTCCTTAAGTGCGGTCTTGGACATCCTTGTCAACTATAATCTGATATCAAAAACAAAGACAATCAATCAAATTCAACACTAACAGACATTCAAACCACCATTTATTTAACTTTTGAAAAGAAAACAAAACAAGTACAGTAAAAAAAAATTGGATTTAACAACGAAACAAAGTCAAGATCTCTGAACTCAACGACAAATAAGCAACCCCAAAGAGAAAAATGAACACCATAGAACAAAAAATGAATTTAACACTACTGGTTTCTCATATCTCTCCAAATTACAATTACAACACCATTACTCTTATTTCTTGAGTTATAATTCAAGCTATCGCAAACACAGAGAGAAGTGTTTATATTGGACTTCCATGATAAACAATTACTGCAAAAGCCAATTCCAATCTTATAGCTGAACTTCCACTTCAAATACAACACTCTTAAGTCAAGATCTGACCTCAACAACTAAAAAAAAATCACGGAAATAACCTTTACAAACCACAACAAAAATTGATTTGTTCACTAATAGCTTTCCATATCTCACCAAATCAAAATTCACAATTACAACACCATTGCTCTTATTTCCTAGTGCTCAATCTCAGATATCATGAACACAAACACAAACATATATTGAAATTTCCAAGAAAATCAATGATTGCAAAAGCCAATTCCAATTCTAATTCAAATCTTAGAACTGAAAATCCAACTTCAAACACAGCATTTAAAAAAGATACACTTCAAATCACCAGAACACAAATAACGAAGCGAATTCACAAGCATATTATCACACATAATTAACAATACTTCAACTCAAAAACCAAAGCGATTAAATCACAATTCACAAACTATAAACACAAAATCGATATTAAAAAAAAATCAACAGATTCAGTGAAAAATCGAAGCAACTAAGTAACAAAACCAAATCTTACAAAAAAAATTATTAAAAAAAAAAAAATCGGTACTATACAATTACAAAACCAAACAGCAAGATCTCAGCGTGAATTGCAGTAAATAATCAAAATCTGCATGAACAATCACACTAACATTACAATCCTAAATCTAAAAACCACAAGCACGAAGCATTCGATTCAAAATTCAGAAAACCCATAAATCGAAAGAGTAATTACAAATTATAGTGAATCGTACGGATCAGAAACGAATATAGAGAGTAAGAGAGAGAAAGTACCAGATGAAAAGAGAGAAGAAAATGCAAAGAGAGCGAGTTGAAAGAGTGAGTCAACACGGAGTAGTGTGAAGAAATGAAATAGAAAAAGAGTGGGATTTGAGTATTTTAGAGTAACCGACGAGTGAGGAGAAGAAAGAGAGAAGAAGAGAAGAGAGTATAAAACGACGGCGTATTGAGTGGAAACGGACCAAAGCCGGCAAAATTAGAGGGTTAAAATAATAAATAGGGGTTTTTGACATTTGCATGTGAATCTCATATGGGTAGCAGCGAAATCAGGTGAACCAATTTATTTCTTTTTCTTTTTTCTTTTAATTTTCTTTTATCATTTTCTTTTTTTTACTATCATAATTCTTTTTAAAATGTACCATTTATAATTTGTAATTAAGACAAAAATAGTATAATTTGTAATTAATGTGCTTCCTCTGAATGTTTTTATTATTGACATTAGTGCTGTTATTTTCAATCCCACAATCTTTTCCTCCTCATAATTATAATTATAATGGTTCGTTCAAATTTTGAAATTGGTTTTGATTAGTTATATAGTGTTGAATGTTAATTTTGAAATTAGGTGTTTCTACAACAATCAATGACCCTTCAACAAAAGAAAGGTGCAAGTTTTGAGTTTTGAAATGATGCTTTATCATTTTAGATAAAGATTAACTAATTGGTGGATTTTGGTAATGTTTTGATGGGATTTGTCTCTTTGTTTGAAAAATACTTCAACAATATCTTTTTAATTGTTGTATTAATATAGAGATTTTATTTTATTTTTAAAAAAGTTGAAGTTAATATAGTATAATTATTCATTATTAATTTGTTTTTAATATTTAAATAATATAAATAACACATAATTATAAATAAATAATATAAAATATTAAATCTATTGATTATTTTAATATATATTATTTTGTTGAGAAACCATAACGAAAATTGATGATCTTGAACGGTGGTTTAAATCTCCTTTACGATGGCGCGGGTGGACCTTTATAGTTAGCACTTTATTGCCCAAATCAGTTTAAGATTCAAGAGGATATTGAAAATGGAGATTAAAGATGGTACCTTATTCTTAGCGTATGAACTGATTTTATACTTTGAGTCAAATGAAGTGGATATGATATGGATTGGTCTTTGTCACTTGGGTCATTGCTCGGTCCAAAATAGTTACTCTCAAGGCTTTGTCAGACAATGAAGAAGCTGAGAAAATCCTTAAGTGTCATTGATCGTCCTCCATGACGTGGTGGAATGGAACTGAAACACTTGGGATCAATTTTGAAGAAGTGTGTGTGTGTGGGGGGGGGGGGGGGGACATGCACATTTAATGTGGTTCCATCATTGAAACGTTTCGTCACCCTTTTCTGACACGTGCAATGATGTGGCCAGTTAGGGTATGACGCTACTTGTAGAGTGATTGAGTGTACTTGAGTTTTCGTGTATCCATGAGTGAAAATCTAATCATTAATCTTGTAATTTATTTTCATAGTTAGTTTTGACTTTTTCCATTGTTGTTGCTTATAATAGGGTGAATTGAGCATTTGGAAATTTTTGCAACCTTTAATATTTTAACTTACAGCTACTTTTTAAAAAAAGCATATTCGATTCTTCTTCTTCGGGAGTATCACTAGAAATGATTTCATGTTTTTCTTAAAGGTTCCGCATTTCTTTCATTTATTCTACTTCATCAATCCCACATAACTAGATACCCTTCCGTCATACCCTAAATCCCCCCCCCCCCCCAAGTTTTTTTATTTGCATATAATTCATCTGCATCTCATTTGCATCATCACATGATGACCAATGCATTTGGTCATTAGCATGCATTAGTCAAAGTTAACAGAGAAAAAGTCAATTGAGAAAAGCCAATAGTTTGATTTTTTTCATCTGATTATTTACCTTTTGGTTCATGCATTCAAATTCAAGCCTTTCATTTCCCATAGCCTCATATTTTCACTCTGATTCCATTTAGGATTTTGTTTTGAAATTATGAGTTTAGGTTTATCACTTCTATTTCACTCATCATTTCATTCATTGATTCATACAAACATCATCCATGAGTTGTTGATGAGTAATACTTTCCAAAAGCATACATATGTTCTTTTTGTTCATTTTAATAAGGCATCTCATCTTCATTTCATTCATATATTCAAACATGTTATAATAAAGTCAAATACTTAAAGTTTGAATTCAAAACAAAACCTTCTCATTTTTTTCATTTCAAATATTTTCCAAATATTACATCGCATCAATGAAAATTACAACAACAAAAAAAAAACTTGATATTTACAATTCAAATTGCATTTTTTTTTATGTACATTTGAGGTCTTCCCTCTACATTTTGAACTAAATTCAAATTCCTACAAAATTAAGACCTAATTCTACTAAGTGTGCTAAAACTCCTAGCTTCCACATGGTTTACTTTGCTCCATTAAGTCATCACCAAGAGAGTTTCTTGCCACTCAATTTTTGCACTTGAGTCCACCTTGTCCAACTCTTGATGTATCTTAAGACCTAACACAAGGTAATGCAATATCAAAAAGTAGTTATGCAACATGATCAAGACAATGCAAAAGAAGTCATTTCAACATATTTTCACAACACAATATGGCACAAATATTTGTCATGATGCAGCTGCATATTTGAGTTTTTCAATGCCATGTTATGTTGTTATGAAAATGAAAAAGACAGTTATGCAGTCAATTTTCATCAAAGTTTTGTTTCCAATTACCACAACCAAGTTTTTAATGTAGTAACAAAAAGAAGAAGAATGCAATTATATATATATATATATATATATATATATATATATATATATATATATATATATATATATATATATATATATATATATATATATATATATATATATATATATATATATATATATATTTCTCTGCATCGATAAAAAATAAATCAAACTTGATTCAAATTGCACATGGCCTCGCATGATTTTTCACTCCACTCGCCCTGAATCCCACATATTCAAGGATTGTTTCAAGACCTCCTAACAACTGTAAAATTAGTTTTGATCCATTCCCAATTTTCACACACTTTGGATCAAAAAATATCTCTCACACATGTATCCTTAGCATCACGCTCTTTATGCTATATAATTGTGCTCACTTTCCATGCTCAAACACACATAGAAACCATAACAACAACAACAACAAAACAAAAAAAAAACCCTAAGCAAAATCTCAAAGCAACAATACACAAATCCCTAAAACCTAAAAAGACCACTCAGAGCTCATAATCTTTTAGCTGTTTAACGCTTCATCTAAGAAGTTATAACGAAATTAAGCTAATATCTAATCAAACACGCAATAATAACACAAAGGCAGCACAACATAAGCAAAAATCACACTAAAAAATGAGTAAAGAGGTTTCAAACAAAGACAAACAGATAAGGAAAGAATAGGAAGTTACCTTAGGGGTCTTTGTAACATCCCAAATTTAATCGGAATATTTAAATTAATTTATTTAATTGAGAATATTCGTATTTTGGCGATTTCTGTGGTTTTGTGAAATATTGAGAATTAATGAATTTTGGACTATTTATTTTGAATAATAATATAAAATATGGATATATTAATATTATTATTAATTAAAATAAATATAAGTGAAATAAGGGTAATTTGGACATTTAAGAGAAGTTAGGGAGGGTGTTATGGGAAAAGCCCAATTTTGAGGTCCAAGGCTAGGTGTAACAAAAAGGAAAATATGATGGAATTAGGATTTATTTATTAGACCATGAAAAGAATTGAGGCCAGAGTTCTGAGGAGGAAGATTGGAGGCAAAAGCTTCAGAGGATTCCCGGAGATATTTGGGAAGACTTTGATCGACAATTAAGG